GGATCATCCCGGGATGCAGGGATGGAGCCGGGCTCTGGGATCATCCCGGGATGCAAGGATGGAGCCGGGCTCCGGGATCATCCCGGGATGCAGGGAGGGAGCCGGGCTCCTGCTGGGTGAGGGACTGAGCTCCTCCAGCCGGGAGCAGGACGGGCAGCGGGAAGGCTCCGCTCGCCCTCAAATCGGCCTTGAGCTGGGGTCAGACACGGGCACAGGGACAATGGTGGTGATGATGATGATGAGGAGGAGGAGGAGGGTTTATCTGGTCCGGGAACACCCCACAACTCAACCCACCGCATCCCTCTCTCCCCTTCCCGCTGCGCGACGCCCCTTCTCCGGGGGCAGCCGGAGAACCTGCTCCTGGCCAGCAAGTGCAAAGGGGCGGCCGTGAAGCTGGCCGACTTCGGCCTCGCCATCGAGGTGCAGGGCGACCAGCAGGCCTGGTTCGGTGAGTGGCGCGCGGCGCCCGCGGCCCCCGCGCCGCCCGCGCTCAGCGCCGCCTCCCGCCCGCGCAGGCTTCGCCGGCACCCCCGGCTACCTCTCGCCCGAGGTCCTGCGCAAGGAAGCCTACGGCAAACCCGTGGATATCTGGGCATGCGGTAGGAGCGGCGCCAGCCCGGCCCCCAGCCCGGCCCCCAGCCCAGCTCCCATCCCAGCTCCCATCCCAGCTCCCATCCCGGTTCCACCCTCAGCCCCATCCCTGTCCCACAAACCCGTGGATATCTGGGCATGCGGTAGGAGCGGCGCCAGCCCGGCCCCCAGCCCAGCTCCCAGCCCGGCCCTCATCCCAGCTCCCATCCCAGCTCCCATCCCAGCTCCCATCCCGGCTCCCATCCCGGCTCCCATCCCAGTTCCACCCTCAGCCCCATCCCTGTCCCGCAAACCCGTGGATATCTGGGCATGCGGTAGGAGCGGCGCCAGCCCGGCCCCCAGCCCGGCCCCCAGCCCCGCTCCCAGCCCCATTCCCATCCCAGTTCCACCTTCACCCCATCCCTGTCCTGTAAACCCGTGGATATCTGGGCATGCGGTAGGAGCAGCTCCCATCCTGGCTCCCATCCCAGCTCCCAGCCCGGCTCCCAGCCTGGCTCCCGTGCCACTCCCATCCCCATTCCCATCCCAGTTCCACCCTCAGCCCCATCCCTATCCCCATCCCTGTCTCCAGGTGAGTTCTCATCCCAGTTCCTATGCTGGTCCCTGTCTTTTCCCTTTCTTTGCCCCATCCCGGTCCCTTCCCTGTCTCTATCATAGTCGCCATGTCAATTCTTATCCCATCCCGTTCCTCTCCTCATCTCCTTCCCGGCTCCTTCCTAGTCTCCATCCCATCCACAGTCCTGGTCCCATTCTCCACCCTCGTCCACATCCCTTCCCAGTCCACATCCCAGTTCCACTGCTCTCCCCATCCTGCTCGCATCCCAGTTCCCATCGTGGACCCCACCCCAGTCCCATGCCCATTCCCATCCTAGCCCCTCCCTAGCCCCTTACCCATGTCCCCACCCCAGTCCCGTGCCCATTCCCATCCTAGCCCCTGCCCGTGCCATCCCGGCCCCTCTCCCCGCCCCCATCCCATTCCCGCCCGCCTTCCGCACCCGGCGGGCGCCGCTGGGGACCCCTCACGGCGCTGCCCGCTCTCCGCAGGCGTCATCCTCTACATCCTGCTCGTGGGCTACCCGCCCTTCTGGGACGAGGACCAGCACAAGCTCTACCAGCAGATCAAGGCCGGCGCCTACGACGTAAGTGCCCGGGCGCCGCGCGGGCGCCGCCTCCGAAGACTGGCCTCATATCTCCACGCACGGCGCCCGCAGGAAGCCCCCCCCTCCAGTGGGTATCTCCGCGGCCCCCCGGGGACACCCGTGTCTCTCTGTCCTTCCTCTGGCCCCCCCTTTCTTCTGCCGCCCCCCCAGCCCGGCTCTGTCGCTCTGCTCCGGCCGCCGCCTCCTCCTCCTCCTCTTCCTCGCGGGGCTCGCTCACTCGCTCCCGACTTTTCCGCGCCTCCCGGAGGCCGTTTTCCGCTTCTCCGCGTGCGGAGGGGAGGGCGGGAGCGGGGCGTTAACTCTGGAGCCTAATGACGGACCCAGCGAGCGACGCCACGGGCGCTCAGGGGTGCCTCGGGCCGCGTCCCCGGTGGCCCGGGGGTGCGTGGGGGGGCGGGGGGACGCGGCCGTCCCCCTCCTCCCGCCGCGGGGCCGCGCCGCTCCGTGACCGCCGGCCCCTTGTGTCTCCCGCGCAGTTCCCGTCCCCCGAGTGGGACACGGTGACCCCCGAAGCGAAGAACCTCATCAACCAGATGCTGACCATCAACCCGGCCAAGCGCATCACAGCCCACGAGGCCCTCAAGCACCCGTGGGTCTGCGTAAGTAGCGGGCGGGCGCGCCGGGGCCGCGCGCCGTGCCCGCCGGCGCTCACGCGCGCTCCGTCCCGCAGCAACGCTCCACCGTGGCCTCCATGATGCACAGGCAGGAGACGGTCGAGTGCCTCAAGAAGTTCAACGCGCGGAGGAAGCTCAAGGTGGGGTGTCCGGAGCGGCCGGCGCTTCCCGCTGCCCTCCCGGTGGTGCCCGCGGTGGCACCGGCCCGGCCCGGCCGTGTCCTGGGGCGTCTCCATGCGGACAGCTCCCATCCCTGCCATTCCGAGGGTATCGTGGTCCCATTCTGGCCATTCCGAGGGCATCATGGTCCCATCCTGGCCATGTCCTGGTCCTTATCTATGTAGCCAGGTCCCATTCCGGCCATTCCAAGGGTATCGTGGTCCCATCCTGGCCATGTCCTGGTCCTTCTCCAGGTAGTCAGGTCCCATCCTGGCCGTTCCAAGCGTATTATACTCCCATTCCGGCCATTCCAAGGGTATCGTGGTCCCACCCTGACCATGTCCTGGTCCTTATCTATGTAGCCAGGTCCCATCCCAGCCATTCCAAGGGTATCGTGGTCCCATCCTGACCATTCCAAGGGTATCACGATCACATCCTGGCCATGTCCTGGGGCTTCTCCATGCGGATAGATCCCATCCCGGCCATTCCAAGGGTATCATGGGCCTATCCCAGCCATTCCCAGAGCCTCCCCGCATCGCCCGGTGCCACCCTGGCCATGCCCGGCGGCAGTGCCCATCCCGCCGTGCCCATCCCGCTGCTCCTCCGTGAAATCCGTCGTGGTCCGGGGGTGCCCCCCTGCGGTCATGGTGCCCCCCCGTGGTGACGGTGCCCCCCCGTTGCAGGGTGCCATCCTCACCACCATGCTGGCCACGCGGAACTTCTCGGGTAAGTCCCCACTGTCCCCGGCCCCCCTGGGCTGCCGCCCGGGCTGAGCCCCGGCGCACTCGTGACACCTGCATCCCCCCCACTCTCTCTCTCTCTCTCTCTCTCTCTCTCTCTCTCTCTCTCTCGCTCTTAACTCCCCTTTTTTTCTCCTTTTATGACTATTATTATTATTATTATTATTATTATTATTATTATTATTTCCCCCCTCCTCATCAAAGCAAGGATGATGCTGATCCCGTTCTTACCCCCCCCCAAGCCCCCCCACGACTGGAAAAATGGGGGGGGGAGCCTAAAAGCCGGGGCCTCCCCCGCAGCCCCCCCCGCGCAGCGTCCCGACGGCGCAGGTAGCCCCCCCACCCCACGGGGGGGGCGCACTGGGCTAGAGATGGGGGGGAAGCGCTGGGGGGGGGTCCTCTCCGCACCCGCCACCTCTAACAGCCTTTTATGTATTTTTTTGTCTTGATTTTTCCTCCGTTTTGTCCTTCCGCTTCCTTTTTTCTCTCCCCCCCTTGTCCCCCCCGCCCCGCGCGGCCCCCCCAGTGGGCAGACAGACCACCGCGCCTCCTACAATGTCCGCGGCCGCCGCCGGCGCCCCCCTGGGGCTGGTGGAACAAGGTAGACGCCGTCTGCAAGGGACCCCCCCTCACCTCCACCTTGGACCCCCCCCCAAAACCTCGTCCGGCCCCCCCCGGGCCGCCGTCTTGCTTGCCTTCTGGTCTCCGTCTGTCCGTCCTGCCTCCCGGCCCCGTCCTCTTCCTCGCTCCCGGTGTCCCCGTTCCCGCCCCCGTGGCCTCCTTGGAAATCGGAGCGCATGCGGTGCACCCCCCCGGCCCCCCCCTGCAAAATCAGCCTGCTGGCACCGTGTCCCCTGTGTCCCCCCTGTCCCCTCTGCCCCAGTGCAGTCGGAGGCTGCCACCTTCGGCGCCCCCCCCCCCATTGCCCCTCTCCATCACTCGGGGGGGGACAGGGACACGCGAAGCCTTCCTCCCGCAGGGGACTTCGCTTTTGCCACCCCCCGCCCCAAATTGGGCTCTGCACCCCCCAATGGCACCCGCTGCTTCATGGCGGGGGGGGGGTCAGTCCCCATATCCCCCCTCCCCTTGGCACAAAGTACCTGGAAAGGGGTGACTTTTTGCGTGGATTAAATTGGGGGGGGGTCTAACCCCCTCCCCCCCCGTTGGGGGTGCATCCCCCCCCCGCATGGCATGGGCAGGGCGGGGGGGACGCGGGGACCGGCCGCATGTCCCCGGCCGGTGCCAGCACGAGCGTCCCCCCCGGCCAAGGCTGGTGCCCCCCCCGAGCCCCCCCCGCATGGCCCCCCCCGCGCCCCCCCCCGCACCGAGGTGCAGCCGGTGTTTGTGTCGCCGCGAAACACCCGGCGGGTTGGACACCAAAACCAAGCAAAATAAGCCCAAAATGCAGCAAAACGGAGCCCGCCCCGAATGCACCCCAAAAGACGAGGGGGGGGCATCTCTCTGCCCCCCCGCCCCCATTCAGCCCTGGTTTAAACCCCCTGCTCCCAGCGCCCGGCTCCGCTTCGGGAGCAGGGAGCAGGACCCCGGACCCCGTCCCGCTGCCGGGGACGTCACCCCGTGTCCCCGCTTCCCGGGGGACACCGGGGTGGGGGTGTCCTCCCCCCCCGACCGCGGCTCTTCCGTGGGGACCCCGTGTCCCG